TTTCCTTAATTTAATTAAGCTGTTTCCAAACTTCTGTAACTCTTTGACTAAGTTTAAGGTTCTTTTAAATTGTATCCTGGGATTCATCTAGGTAATCTCATTGGCAAACATTTCTACAGGACTGGTACATTTTAGAGGAGAGATCTGGGCATGATCTTTCATATTGTTTGTATGTTTTATTTGAACATATGAACTTCTTTTGTTCTGTGTTTGATGTGAACAGACTAGTGCCTTGGCCAGCACAGCCATAGGCATCAAAAGGACCTAGAAATAGGGTAATTGTAGACAGAGACATAAGACTCTGGGTTCACTTCAAGAATGAACAATTTTTATTTTTTCTCACTGCCTTTATATATTGTTCAGCTAACTACTAGAGATAGCATTGCAAGCAGAACTTGTGTGAACAGTATCTTTGGCCCTCTTATCTAAGTTGTTCCTTCCAAAGTTTCCTGCCCTTGTGGCCTTGTTTTGCCCCAGAGGACATTCCTCCTATGCAGTTTTCTGCAGTCAGGGGGCCACATCTGGGTCAGGGTTTGTGCCAAGAAAAATCTGCAGACCATTTGGACTGCAGCAGAGCAAGTTGGGGTAGAAGAAAGGATATTTAGGCTAGTTGAACCTAGAAGTTGGGAGTGTTTTAAGTGGAATAAAGTCAGTTAGACAGAGAAAACTGCGCTGGTGTGCAAGATGTATCATGTCCTGGTCCAAGCCTAGAGTGTGAAGGTACATCTGAGAAGTTAGATGTAGCATGGGAGGAGCCTGTGTGTCAGAGGAAGGCAGAGAAGGTCTTGGTAGAAGCCTAGAGATTGGTAGTGGCCATACTAGGCTAGAGAACTGGGTCTGGTTGGTTGGAGAGGGCATGTAGAGGGGAGAATCACGCAGACTTACTGGAGAAGGAGGTATAAGATCTGACTAGGTGGAGGGGTTGGATGTGGCAAGGGGAGGGGCCTATGGGTTGGGACAGTCAGGGAGGATCCTGGCAGTATCCTGGATTTACATACAAATGTTTCAAAAGATGTGTGATTTTTTTTTGAGGCTGAGCATCATGTTTCCCAGTTAGATGTGAACTCATTATATAGCCATAGATGACCTTGAATTGGTAATCTTTCCTGCTATTTTACCTCTGAGTGCTGGGATTACAGGCATGCACAACCACACCTGGTTTTAGGAGGTATAAGGGACCCAGAGCCTTGTGCATTCTAGGCAGTCACTCTTCCAACTGAGTCACATCCCTAGCTATAGTCATATTTTAAAAACTCTACACTGGACTATAGAGGAAAACTTAAGATGTCCCAGTATCTGTGACACACAGTTTTGTGTTAGTATTTTGCTGGATTTGCTTTTAGGTAATATTTTTGGGGGGATTCGAGACAGGGTTTCTCTGTATTGTTTTGGAGGTTGCCCTGGAACTCACTCTGTAGACCAGGCTAGCCTCAAACTCACAGAGATCTTCCTGCCTCTGCCTCCCGAGTTCTGGGATTAAAGGCATGAGCCACCAACACCCAGCTAGATCATGTTTTAAACACACAAAATATCACCCTTAGAAAATTAATTTCAGCCGTGTGGTGGTGGCACATGCCTTTAATCCCAGCACTTGGGAGGCAGAGGCAGGGAGATCTCTATGAGTTCGAGGCCAACCTGGTCTACATAGAGAGTTCCAGGACAGGCTCCAAAGCTACAAAAAGAAACCCTGTCTTGAAAAATCAAAACCAAAGAATTATTTTCAATCTCCTGCATAACCTGTTTACCAAAGTGCATTTGTGGTTTATTCAGAAATTCTTCTCTTTTATAATGCCAGTAACTAACCAACCAAGGACTTTTATAACACACCCCAGATATTATATCATTTCACCCTATGCTTTTCTCACATAACCATAGTCCTGCTATATATAACAAAATTAATGATTACTCATTAATCACATGATGGTATCTAGTTCCAAGCACATAAACAATTTGTGAGCATTGTTTGATCAAAACATTGTATATTTAATAGATTTACCTTACGGTCATGCTTTTTAAATCACTCTTAATCTGTAGCCATTATCATCTTCTAGATTTTTCTATTTGTTTTCATGTGACATTGATGCTTTTTGAGATACTAAGTTATTTATGCAAAATATCCCTTTTTCTCTTGGCATCATTTCTATCCTTGTCTTTTTTAAACTCTCAAAATACTGTGAATAGTTTGCTTGCTTTTAATTTCTTAACAACTCAAATAATGCTGTGAATTGCCTGTTCCTACATGGTTTCATGTTGTTTTACTATAATTGCCACTAATAATATGAAAATTCATAATTGGAGTTGGGTGTGGAGGATTTTGCCTTTAGTATCCATACAGAGAGACAGGTGGCTCTTGTGAGTTTGAGCATAGACTGCCTGGTCTACATAGCAAGTTCCAGGGCCACATAGTAAGACTCTTTCTCAAGAAAACAAACAAACAAACAAAAAACAAAAAGCTAATACTTAGAATACTACATATGTAGGTGCTCTCTCAATTTCAAAAGTGTAGTTTTCTTTTCTTTCTTTCTTTCTTTCTTTCTTTCTTTCTTTCTTTCTTTCTTTCTTTCTTTCTTTCTTTCTTTCTTTCTTTCTTTCTTTCTTTCTTTCTTTCTTCGAGACAGGGCTTCTCTGTGTAACAGTCCTGGCTGTACTGGAACTCATTTTGTAGACCAGGATGGCCTCAAGCTCACAAGTGCTAGGATTAAAGGCATGTGCCGACCTACCCAGCTTATAGTTTTCATTCTTGGGACTAACATAATACTTAGTTACTATGCAAATACCCAATTCTCTAGAACCAGTGTTTCATTAAGACTTGCAAACCTAGGATTTTTTAGGTCTATCACTCCTCCTTCATTTGTAAAATAGCATTCGTGTGTGTGTGTGTGTGTGTGTGTGTGTGTGTGTGTGTGTGTGTGTGTGTGTGTGTGTGTGTGTGTGTGCGTGTGTGTCTGCCTACCTGCCTGTGTATGTTCATATGTGTTTGGATACATGTTTTAATGGTTGTTTCCTTCTGTCTGACTATTCAAAACATGTTTACCTTTCAAAAGTATGTTATTATAGGGCCATTTGGGATGACTCATCTGGTAAAGGCTCTCAGCACAACACCTAACAACCTGAGTTTAAAATCCAGGACCCACATATTGGAAGGAAAAAACTGGCTCCCACAAATTGTCCTCTGACCTTCACAGTTGTACCATGGTATATATGCACAACATGAGTGTGAATGTCAGAGGACTTCAGCATGAATAAGGAGATACCTCAGTTTGTGCAAGAATGAGGACCAGAGCTCAACCACCAGCACCCACATAAATTAAAGAAAAAAAAAGCAAGCATTGGTGATGCATGCTTGTAATCCCATTGCTGGGGAGACACTTGCTCATTCATATTGGACTATGTCTGTCATGTCTTCCCACTTTGTAGGAGGCAATATCTCTTTTTGTTTGCTGCTGCATACCCCAGAATACTTGACCTCTCCTCTTCAGGGTTTCTCTTGTCTCTGCCTTCAATGTTGCTCTAAGAGTACTGGAATGAAGGACAAATGCTACTGCATCTTGCCCTATGTGGGTTCTGAGAACCTGAACTCTGGTCTTCACACTTGCAGGATAAGTGCTTTACCCACTGAACACCCACTAGTACCTGGGACTTGCTGATTGAATCCTCCTGATTCTGCCTCCCCAGCACTGGGGCTACAAGTATCCATCATCAATGCTTATTTTTCTGTTTGTTTGTTTGTTCTTTAATTTATGTGGTGCTGGTGATTGAGCTCTGCTCCTCATACCTGCACGACAAGTACTTTGCTGAGCTATCTCTTCAGCCCCAGCTGGGATTTGTTTGTAAAGAAAATCTTTCTTTCTCACCTGAGGATATTTGTTTCTCCTAGAATATGCTTATTGAAAAGCATAAACAGGTAACAGTTTTTAAATTTAGTATTGTTTAAAAAGTTTTGCTATGATATTTAAGAACTCATTATTTGGTTGGTATATATAAAATAATAATCCTCAATAGGTAGTGTGTACTACATATCAAATCACTTGCTCAGATTATAAATTCTGAGAGTGAAAAGAGCATTGGATTCAGGGAGGTCCCATACATTTTGTATGAGAGATATTATAGCATACTTTTGACGGATAAGTATGTTTTAAATAGGCAAAAGGAAAATACATGCTCTAAACAGTTCAGAAGGTATCAATATGGAAGGAAGGATGATGCAGTATCAGTCTCTGGGGGTGTAATAAGGAAGTCATTTTTGTGGAGTAACAAAATAATGATGTTTAGTCTATTTTCTGCTGCTATAACAGAATGTCACAACTGGGAAAATACTAAATAAAAGTTTGTTTTTCTCATGGTTCTGGAGGCTGGAAAGTCTACGAGCATGATGCTTATATGGTTCAGGCCTCCATGCTAAATTGTCCCATAAGTAGAAGACATCACATGGTAAGAGGGTGGGGGAAGAACCTCACCCACTCCTACAGTAATAGTTGTATGCCATTCAGGAGAACAGTGACATCATGACCTAATTGCCTCTTAAAAGTTCTTCCTTCTAGCCTGGCAGTGGTGGCATACGCCTTTAATCCCAGCACTTAGGAGGCACAGACAGGTAGATCTCTGTGAGTTCTAGGCCAACCTGGTCTACAGAGTGAGTTCAGGACTGGCTCCATAGCTACTGAGAAACCCTGTCTGGAAAAAAAAACGTTCTCCCTTCTAAATTATTAAAATGATAATTAAGTTTCCACATGAATTTGGAGAGGGCATTCAAACCATAGCAGTAGATACAAAAACAAGGTTGGAAAAGTAGGTAAGCCAGGAACAACAAGAACATAAAAAGCACATGAACAACTTTAAATGCCAGCTCAAGAGGGTTAATTCGTATTCGTGTATGCCTTGGTCATTAAATAGGATTTCGTGAAAAGCTAGAAGCAAGAAGACCAATACAACCACCTTTGGGGTAGCCAGAAGTTGGGGGATATAAATGGCAAATAGATAGCATCCTGTTTCCTTTGCAGCCCGTGTGACTCCAACTCTGCCCAAGCAGGATCGTCCTGTTCGTGAGGGCACCCGAGTGGCCTCTATTGAGACAGGTTTGGCTGCAGCAGCTGCAAAGCTTGCCCAGCAGGTAAGTGTTGATACCCAGCCCGTGACCTTGCTACTGATAACTTAGAGCCTCACAATTCAGACCTTTAGGGTGGTAGGATCCTGCTGGCAGTATTCCAGCCCCTCTTATATCCTTTACATGCCAGCTCTGTGACAAGCTACTTTCATAGTTTACATAGTTGACATGATTTAGGATGAAAAGGGGGGTCAGGGAAGTGTCCTTGTTGATATCACATAACACTTCTAAGTATATAAAATCCCTGCAGATGGAAGCCGGGCGTTGGTGGCGCACGCCTTTAATCCCAGCACTCGGGAGGCAGAGGCAGGCGGATCTCTGTGAGTTCGAGGCCAGGCTGGACTGACAGCCTCCAAAACAATACAGAGGGACCCTGTCTCATAAAACCAAAAAAAATCCCTGCAGATGGAGAGAGAGTCATCTTTCTTTACAAATGTGGTCCCTGGTGGGCCATTCATGCCCCATGAAAGGCCCCATACCATGCCAGCTCTGTGGGTTTTTTGACTCAGTGGGTTTTTTAAAAAATGAAGAGGATGTGAAGTTGGGAGGGAAACATTGGGGAGAATCTGAGGCTTTGGAGAGGTAGGGGAGTTAGGTGTGAATATGATCAAAATGCATTGCATGTGCCAGGTGTTGGTGGCACATGCCTTTAATCCCAGCACTCGGGAGGCAGAGGCAGGTAGAACTCTGTGAGTTTGAGGTCAGCCTGGTCTACAGAGTGAGTTCCAGGACAGCCTCCAAAATAATACAGAGAAACCCTGTCTCGAAAATCCAAATATTGCGTGCATGTATAAAATAACAAGTAAAACTATGTATTGGGGAAAAAATCCTCAGATAAAAAAAGACTAGATCTGTCATTTGTCTTTAGATTTAGTTCTGAGGAAGTGACTCAGTTAAGTACACTTAAGTTTTGAGTCACCCACCAATACTGATATTTGACCTTTTATAAAGAGGGTTTTTTATACCCTTTATCAAACATTATTACCTGGATCTTCACCCCCTGCTTCTCAAGAAAACAGCAGTCACCATTTTCTTCCAAAAAGGTCCCCTTCACTGAATCAGTTTTACCTCTTACCATTAGTTTACAATGTGTTTTAACATGTTGTATGCTCAGAAACCCTAGGAGCATTTGGAGATGAAGTTTTTGTTTTTTAACAGTGTCCACATAGCTCCTCATGCCATATTCCTATAGCTTAGAGCACTATTGAGCATCTGCTTAATGTTAGGCATACCTATGTACAATGTCTATATAATATGCCCAGTAGTCTTATTCAATAGATGATATTTTCATCATTTTACAGGTGACGAATATGAGGCTCACTTTTAAGTGACTAGTCCAGGATAAGACAGCCAGTAATTGGAGGAGACAAGATTCAAACTCATATCCTCTAACTTCTGATTTCATTCTACTTGAATTTTCAGTAAAGTGAAATAGTTGAATGTTTATATATTTTATTATTTTTTCATATATAAGTAAAATTTAAGAATTTCTTTTCCTATTATATAGAACTATAAAGTTTCTAAGAAATGTCCTACAGACTATTAACTGGAATCCAGCAGATATCAAGTAGGCCAAGTGGCTCTTCTTTAACTAAAATTTGCCCATGTCATTTGTTAGTGCCACATAAGATGTAATTGATAAATAAAGATTTTCTATTGCTTTAAACAAACAGATAAAAGTGTGAAACTACTCTTAGTTCTTTCTAAGGAGTAACTACGATTTGAGTTGGTGGAATTACTTCAAGGAAGAGGCTTTAAAGTTGGGGGTGTTAGTAGAGACATTTTTGGTTTTTTGAGGGAGTGGGGGACCGGGAAACATTCCTGGAAAATATTACTCCTTGCTATCACACATAAAGCCCTCTTTGTTTATTCTATAGTGACTTCTCTCTCATCACCTGATTTTCATCAAATATACATCCTTTGTCAACCGTACTTCACTACAGTGTTCATGATTTACCCCGTGTACCACATTGTCTCATACCTTCATGGGTTTAGCATAAACCATTCCTTCTGCCCATTCACATCACCAACTACCATTTTATTTCTTTGATCTTCATCTGTACTTCTATATTGCATTATCGAGACTTCATGTTGGGGGATAAGTGTGATAAGTAATAGTTAAGAAGTGGAGGGGGCGCTGGAGAGATGGCTCAGAGGTTAAGAGCACTGGCTGCTCTTTCAGAGGTCCTGAGTTTAATTCCCAGCATCCACATGGTGGCTCACAACCATCTGTAATGAGACCTGATGCCCTCTTCTGGCCTGCAGGGATACAAGCAGACAGAGTGTTGTATGCATAATAAGTAAATCTTAAAAAAAAAAAAGAAATGGACCCGGGTGGTGGTGGCATACTCCTTTAATCCCAGCACTCGGGAGGCAGAGGCAGGAGGATCTCTGTGAGTTCAAGGGCAGCCTGGTCTACAGAGCGCCAGGATAGGCTCCAAATCTACACAGAGAAACCCTGTCTCGGGGGGAAAAAGTGGATTCTGGGGCCTGAAAGATGTATCTGTAAGTAAAGGCACTTGCTACCAAGCATGGGGACTTAAATTTGATTCTAGGACACTCAAGGTATGAAAAGAGAATATACTCCTGCAAGTTGTCCTCTGACCTTAACACTTGTATCATGGCACTACACCCCTGCCTGAACACACACACACACACACACACACACACACACACACACACACACACACACACACACACACACACACACACTAACTGGCTTTAAATCGTACCTTTACTACTTAGACAAGTTATATAATTTCTCTTTGCCTCAGCTATTTAATGAGATTTAAGATTAAATGAGAGGGTGTGTGTGTATGTGTGTATGCATGTGTATGTCTGTTTTCCTCCTTAGAATGACACTTGTAAGGCATTTTCACCTTCAATCTTTAATCATTTATGGGTTGGCTAGGTATAAGTAGCTACATAGTGAAATACCATGAATGTCAGACCTGGAAGTTTGAATTTGGTTGGAAGCTTGATAGATTTTTTTTTCAACAAAGAACTTGGCAAGGTGAAAGTGCTCCTGTCATAAGCCACTTACATCCAATAGAGAATAACAGCAATAGAAGGAAAATTAAAGCTAAGTAATCTAGATATGAAGACATAATTTATGGAGCCAGACCAGAGAACAAGGGAACAGAAATAATTTTCTTTTTTTGTTTTGTTTTGTTTTAGTTTTTCAAGATAGGGTTTCCTTGTATAACAGTTCTAGTTGTCCTGGGACTCCTATAGACCAGGCTGGCCTTGACCTCACAGAGATCCGCCTTCAGGGATCAAAGGAATTCACTGCCACCACGAAGGCAGAATTCACTTGTAATATGAGTGAGAAAAGAGATTCCTGGTAGCCAGGCGTTAGTGGCGCATGCCTTTAATCCCAGCACTCAGGATGCAGAGGTAGGTGCATCTCTGTGAGTTCGAGGACAGCCTGATCTACAGAGTGAGTTCCAGGGCAGCTTCCAAAACAATATCGAGAAACCCCGTAAACAAAAAAAGAGAGATTCCTAGTAAGGGTGTGACTGAAAAGAACAGATTCTGAAACCAGAGTCTGAACCTCAGCTTGAAATAGGAAAATAACTTAGGATTGGAGAGATGACTTAGCAGTTAAGAGCACTGACTTATCTTCCAGAGGACCTGGGTTCAATTTTCAACGCTCACATGGTAGTTCATAAATGTCTGTAATTCCAGTTCCAGAGGATCTTACACACACACACACACACACACACACACACACACACACACACACACACACACACACACACAGAGGCAAACACAAATGCACATAAACAAAAGGATAATAACAACTTTTTTGCCCTAGTCTCTTTATTCTTAGAATGGGAGTATAATTCTTCTTATCCTTAAAAGTATTAGGTGAATAATTAAGAAACAGTACCTGATATGCATTACTAATGCCATTATTTTCATCCTCCAGAAATTTCTCTGGTAGCCATAGCATAACAAATCTTCTGAAGGCAGGTCTAGGCTTTTGTTAACAAGAGAAAACTAACATATATAGTCATAGAATTGGTATGTGTGGCTGAGTGGCATTTCAGAAAGTAAATTTATTCACATGTTCCCAATACCATCTTCCAAGTTCTCAGGGCTTCACATGCCCATTATCCAGGTACTTACTACCCAGTGGGTAGTAAATCCATAGAGCAATAAGTGGATGAAATACAAGATACTAGAAGAAGTGGCACAACTTCATATTCATTCATTTCATCCAAATTGAGATATTTAGATTGGCACAACTTCATATTCATTCATTTCATCCAAATTGAGATATTTAGATTCAGTGATTAAAAGACTGTCATCAAGTCCTCTGTTCAAAGAACCAAGATGAGCAAAAGGAAAAAAGATAAGAAATAGAGAATAATAATTAACTACTTGCTGAGTTCCTTTCATGTGTTATATACTTTTGTCATTATTTAAGCTTTCTAACAACTTTGAAAAGCAGACAAAGCAGCTGAAATTCAGAAAGGTTAGTAACTTCAACCAAAGTCATCCAATTTAGACAACAAAAGCCTGGGTTTGAACTCATGTTTACCTTATTCCAAAGCTAACACTTTACTCTCCCAGTTGATTTTGAGAAGTTTTATAAGCTGATTAGATACTAGATCTAACTACTTTTCCATAAGGGTTTAGGCTTACATTACTTAATATCCTTGCGCTTCTGTTTTGTCATTTGCAAAATGAAGAGTTCTTTCCCCTTAGGACTGTTACAAGAATTAAATAAGAAGATAAAGTGAATAAAGTACCTAAGCTGCTAGTGTAAATTTAGTTATTAGAAATGACCATAGTTCACCAAAACTCAAGTCTTCAAAATCATTTACAGTTTTCTTGCTGTTGTACTATTAAGTGGTAGTGATGAATTAAGGATGGATGACATCGAGGAAATCGCCATGGCATTGGAAAGGCCTTTGTTGTAGGTCCATGCAAGACAGATTTAGAAGGGATGGAGAAGAAGTGGCAGGATGCAGACACTTATTGACTATTGTCTCCTTACTTTCTGGGAAATTTTTTCTCTTTTCTTCACTCTTTAATCTCCCCTCTGACTTGGCTTGTATTTCAGGAGCTGCAAAAGGCCCAAAAGAAGAAATATATCAAGAAGAAGCCTTTGCTGAAGGAGGCAGAACAGCCTCGCCCTCAAGATTCCAATGTCATTGTTACAGTGTCTGCACCAACACTGGCTACTACACCCCAGCCTCTCACCTCCTCCTCACCCCAGCCACCTCCTGAGCCTAAGCAAGAGGCTCTGTCAGGAAGTCTTGCTGACCATGAGTATACTGCTCGTCCCAATGCCTTTGGCATGGCTCAGGCAAATCGAAGCACCACACCCATGGCCCCTGGAGTCTTCCTGACCCAGAGACGTCCTTCAGTTGGCTCCCAGAGCAGTCAGGCAGGACAAGGTACATGACCCAAATTGGCATTAAAATGAGCAATCTTAGAACTCCCTGATCTAAATCTTAAGTGCTCTAGTTGATGAGAAAACCAGGAAGGAACACTGAAAGCCAAATATCAGGTGCTTCTATTTGAGCTCAATAGGCCATGAAGAGGTGGTCATAGTGGAGGATGGATTGGAAGTAGGTAGTGTGTACATCCATAGATTCAGGAAGGAATGGGGAAAAACAAACATAGTACCTCTGATCAGAGTAATGAGGAGAGATGATAAGTGGAAATAATGGTTTTTATCGTATAGGGTGTGAGAAATGATTTGAGGTGGGGAGACAGAAAGGCATGAAAGAGAGAATTCAAACCCTCCTTTTCCACTCATTGGTCAATCCCTAGAGTATGGATGTGTAAGTCAAGGATACTAAATTTGGTATGATGTTTAGGATTGACTAGCATGGGAGTTTCTAATGAAAGAAGACCCTGAGAATGGTACCCTTAGGGAACTGAACTATACTCACTAAATCTGGTGGTCAGGGTAACATGAATGACACGGAAGCATACTGACCTCTTCACAGAATTTTCTAAGGAAAATGATTGAATTCAAAGAAGTCAGTGGGGGAAAAGAGCCAGAAAACTAGAACTATAGTGTTTGTGGCTGCTGCAACAATCAGAGAAGGAAGAGTCAAGCGTGCGGCATTGAATCGAAGCATTTAAGGAGGATTCTTTGTCCTATATGGCATAAGGATGAAGAACCTTTGTTGAGAAAAACACAGGAGGGGTGGTACAAGAACAGTTGTTGCTAAAGTTGCTCATATAGCCTCTGCTTACTTTACCCTTCCTTTACAGGAAAGCGTCCTAAAAAGGGCCTGGCCACAGCAAAGCAGAGACTTGGCCGCATCCTGAAAATCCACAGAAATGGCAAGTTACTTCTGTGAGCTGAGCCCCATCGTGTCCCACTTCACCCCCCTTCACCCCCATTGCCTTCTTCGTTGTCAACTCGGGGCACTCCTGGATCCTATGAGCCCCGGACAAGGTGCATTGTCCTGCTATCTTGGGACTGACCAAAGGCACGGACTATCCCCAACTCCCTTTCTCACTTCCACTATGGCTATCCTGCCTACCCATGAGTAGCAGGTAAATGGGAGAGGTTTCCAACTGATAAGAAGAACCTTTTCCTGCTCCTCCCACATATTTCCCTTCCACCTTATCTGTACTCTTTCCCTCCCTTCACCCGTTTTGGAATGAACGATGAGGAGCAGCATAAAGGGAGTCTGGGCCCTTCAATTTCCTCGTCATGAAGTGAGAGGCCCAGTGCTCAACATTTGCTCCAAATCTAGCCCTGTCTCTAAGCCTCCCCCACCTCCACCCATTTTCCTACCCCTTCCTCCCAATCTGGTGGATATGCCCTGCCTTCAGTCTTGTTCCTGAAAGAAGATTGTGGTCTTTATCTCCTTTTGCCTCTTTTTATGAGGAAAATGAAGAGGGCCTTTATTGCCCTATCTTGGGCCTTCTCCAGAGCTGGCCTAGAAAAGCTGACTTTGTCTGTCTTTGGGGAAAAAAAGGAGATTGCTGTTACTTTTCAAGGTGGGGAAGAAGACAGATACTCAAGCCTTTGACCATAACTGTTGCCTAGCCCACCAGAGGAGACTACTTTTGTCTCACTGCACATGAAGCCCCATGGTGATCTTCAAAAATTTGCCTGTATTTTGAGGACCTGTGGAACATTATCACCATAGCTAGAACTCGGTTCCAGCAGGTACAAACCTACTCCCTAGAAATCCAAAGTACCTGCCACATTGATAACTCTGGCTCTATAGCCTGCTCCTGCCACCTATGCCACAAAGCACAGCCTGGACCTTCTGGAGAGGGTATGGTGAGACAACCTAACCCTGCAGGGTCATTTATCAGGAGTCTCCATGCTTCTTTCCCCATCTGAAGTCTTAGTCTGAAGAAGACTTCAGGACTCAAATCTTCACCTTTGGACCTTTACTCTTCAGACCACAGGCCAACATTCAAGCCTAATGCAGATAGGCTGTTCAAGGCTGAATTTAGAAACGATGCCCATCTGTGAAGTAGCAGATCTTCTGATCCACTTTTTTTCTCCTTTCCTTTGTGATTGTCACCATTTTCCAAACAGTGCCCCCACCTCCCTTTTGTCTTGCCTTACTGGCAATCTGGACTTGATGGAGACTGCCCCCTCCAAACAACCCATTTTGGCACTGTCCACATGGGAGTGTTCTCGACCTTCCACTCGTCCTCACCCCAGCTTGCCTAGTCTTCTGGGGAATTTAACAGCTATGATGCAGACCACAGGGAATTTGTGAGGCCTATGTGTTATCTATGTTTGTGCTTCTTTTTTTCTGTAGACCCCCCCCCTTTCCATTCTTCTTGGAATCAGGGGTACTTAGCATATTGCTTTTTCTACCTTGGGGACCCCAGGGGCCAAGCAGTCCTCCTTTAGTCACACCAAAGGCAAAAGGCCTGGCTACCTCCCCCTTAGCACGTGAGGTTCCTACTCCCCTCCTTTCTACTCAGCTTTGCTTATCTTGGAGATTTCAAGGTAGTAGTGGGGAAGTAAGGGGGAAGCAGGAGAAGCCTCTGACCCTATGTGGGCAACTTCCTGACTAAAGGCTGACTGTTGTCACCAAAACCAGGTCCCCAGCCCTTTCACCCATTGAAACTCCCTCTTGATCTTTAAAGGCAGCTAATTGCTAGCACACTCTCCCCACCCATTCCAGGCCTCTTTTCCCTCTGTTTCTTTGTTAGAAGGTTCTGTGGAGCTGAAACCCAGCCTCTGATGGGGCTTGTTTAGTTTAGTTGGCTTCTCAGAGTCTCCCGTTGTTTTGTGTTGTTTCCAATGAAAAGCAAGTTTACCCTCAGAGTTATGCTTTTCCAAAGAAGCTAGTGTGTTTTTTGTTGTTGTTGTTGTTTTGTTTTGTTTTTATGTTTCAGGTTCTAAGTGAAGTGAGGTAGAGAGGAGTTGGGAATAACCAAGGTTTAGAACATGGTGAGATAGTTACCTCTGATCTGCAATCCCCAGCAGAGAGCTGGGGTAGGATAGGAGGGCAGAGAGGATTTCTATTCACCTTTAATATATTTTTACAAAAAAGCAAACAATTTAAAAACAAACCCACCGCTTCTGTACATGTCTAAATATATTTTTAGAAGTGGGTAGGATTGTGATTTCTGATGCAGGGCCTTTTTATAAATAGGTTAGAATAGCATCATCCAGATTTCTCTGTTGTTTGTTCCCCATGTTTTTTCTTATGTTGTGTTACTAATGTAATTTATATATTTTTTAGAACTCCCTTTCCTGTAGAGATAAAAGTGATTTATCTTGACAATTTTGTTGCTTGACATTATTATTATCGGTGGGTGGTGGGTGGTGGTGGTGGTGGTGGTGGTGGTGATAAGGTATGGAGTTCAAGAAGTTACTTTACTTTTGTCTCTCATTCAGCAGTTTATCAGTGGGAATTTCCCTGGTGCCCAACATTATACCTGAGGTATGAATTTGGCAGGATCCTGTCTCAAAGGCACAGTTTAACCACATGAAATACATAATTTAAATCAAAATAGGCAGAAAATACAAGGTGCAACAATTCAGTGATCCTGAGAAGTTCGATGAGAAAGCTTTCAATAGTTTTCATGAGCTACTTTTTATTAGCATATAGTAGTTATACATGATATGTGTTTCATGACATTCTCATTAGTGTGTGTGTGTATGATACTTTGATCATATTTATCCACCCCATAACACTTTACTACTCCCTTCCCATTCCTGCTAGTCCCCTTCTTCTTCAAAATCACTCCCCCTTCCATTATCATGCCTTTTCTTTCTTTGGTAGCTACTGAGTTTAATTAGGGCTGCTTACAGAAACATGAGAAGGAGGTTATTTACTGGAACATGAGTACCTTACCAGTAAAGAAAATATCTCTTCATCCCCCAGCAACTATCAACTAACTGCATTCATATCCTTGGTGATGGATGAGGCCTTGTAATCCCCTCCCTTCCCCTCCCCATAACAAAAGGTTGACAGGCCCAGTCCACTGCAGGTCTTCTTGATAATCAGCTGCTGAGAGTTCAAGGGTCACAGCTATGTCATACCTTTTAGAAACCATTCCACAAACATTCACTGCTTCCTTCAGGCCATATTCCTCCCATCCCTCTTCCATATTATTTTTTCACCTTATAGACGTCCATTTATATATGCTTAAACATATAGATGTCCCATTTAGGGTTCAGCCTTATTCTCAGCGTGTTGACCAGTTATGGGAACAAAGTAACCCCTGCTCCTCTGTGCCATGGTCTAGTTTTCACTGACTACAGATATGCTTTATTTTTGTGACTGGGAATGTTTTCTCTGATATCTGCCCAGCATTTGTGATATGTATAATCTTGATTGATTACTGTGCTTAAGTGCAGTGGAAGGAATATAATCATAAGAACTAACAATTATTATTCTTAGTGTTTTCTGTATATTGACTGTTATAGTTTGCCTTCTATTGCTGTGGTAGAAACTATTACCAAAAGGAACTTGGGGAGGAAGGGGTTTATTTGACTTCAAGTCTGATTATAGTCCATCATTAAGGGAAGCCAAGGCAGGAACCTGGAAGTAAGAACTGAAGGAGAGGCTATGGAGGAGTGCTGCTTACTGGCTTGCTTTCCATGGCATGCTTATCCTGCTCTCTTAGAGAACCCA